TACTTCCCTTGTTGGGCCCACTGGCTTGTATCTATCTTTTAATCATGATAATAGGGCCCTGTCTCTTTTGCTGTTTTAAAAAATTTCTTGCAGGAATGCATGAGGGCATTTACCAACCAGAGAGTCACAGAACTCATCATGGCAAGGTTATTGGCCACTGCAGCTGAGCAAAGAAGCCCTCACCTACCGCTGCCCCCACCAGACCCAGGTTTAGCCCCAACTTTCACCCCTTTGTCAGCTTAAAGCAGCTACAGAAGAAGAGACCTTCGCCCAACAGCTGTGAAACAAAAGCCTGGAATGTTAGATTTCCCTCACCTTAAGATGTGTCATCACATAACTAATGATGACACAGCCCCTCCTGGTGATGTCACAGGCTCCCCCAATCCCTAGTCACTACATCACTTAATCCCACCCCAGCTCCTATAAGCCCCACCCCGTCCTCTAAGTGCTCCCTGTCCCAGCCCTATTGCTCTCTCTCCTTTGTTCAGAGACAGCCTGGCAGACCCTCCCCATAATAAAGGCTTGTTATGGTCAAAGAAATAATAAGGTAAAATAAAATAAAATAAAATGATGTCAAGAGAAGCTTTCACTGACACCCTTCTATAAATTGGTGGTAGGACTGAGGCTGCCATCTTCTCTTTTAGTGTATCAGTAGAATTTGGCAAAACCCTCCTGATCCTAGAGTCCTGGTAGATTATATTTATCCTATACTGCAAAATGCCAGAGATGTTGTAGCAGCTCCCAATCTTCTTCCGTCTGTGTAGCGCTCGTTTCTCCAGCCATCACAGGGGCTGTGCTGCCAACTGCTGACGAGTGATGCCCTCCCTAGTCTTGTCCTTCAGGCAGCCTTCTAGTATTCTCAGGAACAAACTGGTTTAGTTCAGGTCCTCAGCAATAGAGCCTGACATGCGAATTCTGCTGGGAGTGATTTACCGGTGTGGGTTTCCAGAGGAAAGATAGTGAAGGAAGCAGGACAGGGCTAAGGGAAGAAGGCTCAGCCTGCCTGTGACCTCAGCTGGGGACTGAAGTAAGAATTACATGCAGAGTTGTTCATATCTTGAGGCAGGAAAACACCCTTGAGTCAGGCACCAGGGAGGGCCTCACCAGAGTAGCTGAGAGATCACGGTCGGCATGCCCAGCATTTGGAGAACGGAGCACTGGTCAGGTAGAGAGGGCTAAGCAGGACACCAACAGCATTTTGTACAGATTCTATATGCCAGTATATTGTGCTTTATTTTTTCATAAATAATTTTTTATTAGTGCATGTTTGTAATACAAAATAGTGGTATTCTAAAGGAATTGGCGCATACATATAACATATATTGGTCATTTTCAGTTCCTTTACTCCTCTCTCCCTTTCTTTCTCCCTGCTCCCACCCTGTTTCCCATCTCCAGGAGTCTACCTTGTTTTCTATTGGCTCTCCTTTTTTTAAAAAAATTAATTAATTAATTTATATTTTAGGTTTCTCACATAAGAGAAAACATCCAGTGTTTAATTTTCTGAGTCTGGCTGTTTCAGTGAGCGTCATGGTCTTGTGTTCCATCCATTTCCACGCAAATGACATTTTGTACTTCTTATATATATATATAACACATTTTCTTCATCCACTCATCTGATGATTGTGTAACATGTAGATGGCACTAGTCGGGACCATGGCCTTTGAAAGCAGGAGGACCTGGGCTTGTGTCCTGCTCTACAACTTCAATAGCTGTGTGCCACCAGACTTTGCTGAACCTCATTTTCCTCATCGATAAAATAGTGATAATTATGGCACTGCTTCCATAAGGCTATGGAAAAACTTAAGTCAAACCATTCATGTAAGGCATGTGACATTTTTTTGTGGAATGTATTAATAACCATTATTTATGAAGTCCTTATAGCTGTCACAAATTTTATTTATCGTGGCACCTCATAATAGCTGGTACTCAGTAAATGTTTATATTGAATGAATTTATTATGAATAAATGTTATTCACTATGTAGATATTAGGAAAAGTGCCCTTAAGAGATCATTAATAAGGGAAAAGAAAGAAGTGTGTGTCCAGATCCTGGATAGAGACTGCCAACCCCACTGCGCATTCCCCCTACATTCTCATGGAGAGCCGTGGAACTCCTGGGAGGACCCAGCTGCAATCTCTAGCTCCCTTTGGTCCTCTAGAATGACGTCAGTGCATTAATCCCAGACCCATTTTTGCACTGACTTCAATTATAGACTCCCCCATGCATGATAGAATGAAAATGGAACAGCTGAGGGACCCATCTCAGGCACATTTCCATTTCCCAGAGGACTTTTGGAGCTCAAAATAGTTTTAAGATTAAAAGGCACAGATGGCTGGTCTTACCCAGAATGAGAACAAGAACACACAGCACAAAAGGTCATAATTAGTTCTCTGAGAAAGAGTTAAGTTGTAAAATCCATATTTCACAAATGGATTGTATTGTATCAAGGGATAGAGTAGTCCTTTTACACTGTGATAACCACACCTTTTGTTCTTACTTGTGTGAAGGTTTAGTCACTTCTGTGGAACAGGAACGAATTAACAGGGTGTGGGGAGAACACTGATGTGTGTGTATGTGCCTCTGACACTGCAGTCTCTCTGCAGGCCCAACTCCTCAAAGCCTGAAGGGATGCACCATTCTTTACTTGATATCTGTTCACTGTGGACATGGACACAGCCCCCTGCACCCTTCCTTTCAGCCTCCCCACCTGCATTTGTGCACTGCTGGTCTTCACCAGCTGATGTTGGTGTTTCCTGTCTTGGAAGCAGCTGCATAAGCAGAGAGAGATCTGATGTGCATTTGTAGCTGTTACTTTCCAAGCTTGTGGCTCTTTGTGATTCTGTCATTTAGACCTGTGGTGGGGTGAGTGACCTACATTAATGCATAAAGCTGAGAATGTCAGCTTCACATTGAGATGTCAATAAGCATTTCTTCTCCCACCCTGCTTGTGCCTGTTCTTTGATTGCCTTGTCTTAGAACAACCCTCACCTATAGTGCTCTTGTATGGATGTGATGGCTGACTTCCTGTCCTGATTTTCATAAACAGGTTTCACTGTTCTGTCCTCTTCTATTGTCCTATAAGTGTAGCTGTTGGCTAGCCATAATACTCTACATTGTTAGAAAACTTAGGTTCTTTTACTTATGGGCTGTTGAAAAGGTGTGCGTGTGTGTGTGTGTGTGTGTACAGAGGTACACATCATAGTCTCCATTCATCATTTGCACCTCAGACCTGAGCTACTGAATATCTTTGAGGGGTCTCAGAGGAATGCATCACAGACCCTGACTCCATGGAAGCTCACTTTTTGGAGCTTGGAGAAGACAGAAGAGTAAACAAGTTCCAGACAGCACTGAGTGTTACAACAGAGAGCACCCGGGACCATATTATAGCACATAGGATAAAGATGACTCTCCCTGAGGCATGAGAGAGACTTTGGAGCAACATGTGGGTCTGAGTAGGGCAGAATGAGTAGGTAGCCTTTCAGGACTCTGTAGAGGATGTACGATGGGAATAATATATATAAAATTGGAGAGGCAAGAAATCCTGCCTGGCATTCATGACCTTCAAGAGAAAGGGCAATTTGGTTGGGGTAAAGGATCATGGTGTAGAATCAGGCTAACCTGAGTGAGAGCTGGGTTTGGCTGTGGGCAAGGGACTTCACCTGTCTATAATTTTGAGTTTGTCCAAATGCAGACATTTTACTAGCACTGTTGCTGAGATTCCAGGAAGAAGCCAGCCCAGGGTAGGCTCAGAGCAGATTATCGATAATTGGCCATACACCTATCTCTGGTGCCTGGGCTCTAGAAGTTGCAGTGAGTTGGTTATGACACATGGCAGGAGATGAACCTGGAAAAGGGCCGTTACTACATCACAAAGGGTGTTTCTGGGCATCACAGTCTACTGTGGGGAATGTTGTGAAACCATGTTGTTTCCTCAGAAGAATGTAACTTGGTATAAAAACTTTAATTCATTTTAAGGTATTTACACATTCCCTGAAGTCCACCTGTGCATCCCAGACTGAGCTCCTCCCCTGTAGACAGTGGGAGCAATGGAAAGGTTTGGGGTTGAGTGTGGACTGATCCAGTTTTTATTTTTGAAATAATGCCCTGCCGGTGGCAGGATGAAGTTGGACTAGAGGTAAGAGGGAGCCTAGAGCCAACAGAGAGTGGGAACAAAGGCATGGCAGTGGGGCTAGAGTAAAACTAGATGACTTTTTATGGGTGATTGCCATTTAGTATTAGCCTCTGGATTCTGATGAGCTGGTGTCGTAAACTAGACTAGGAAAGGGAGGAGGAGGATCAGTGTGTGGGGGAGGGGACCTGATGGTTTTCTTTCAGCCAAGTTGAGTCTAAGGTCATTGTGGGTCTGGAACTCAGGGCAGAGTCTGGGTTGATTTGGATGAGTGTGAGGGAATCTTCAAAGAACAGATGGTGGCTGCAGGCTTACATACGGATGAAGTGACTCAGAGAGAGCTGGCTGAGACAGCGCAGAGGCCAGGATCCTGGAGAACCCCTTAATTTGGCGAGCCAATGTGCATAGAGAAAAAGAACAGGTTTGGCTGAAGATGAAGAAAGTGGTTTCAGAAGAGGAGAAGGAGAATGAGAAATGAAGCCATAGACACCAGGGAGGAAGAACATTTCTGAAAGGAAGAGATAAACAGTATCGAATGCAGTAGGGGGTTAAAGAAAACAGAAAGGGAGGGAATGCTACCTCACTAAGCTTAGAGCCAGGAAGCACTAGGTGTGGGAACACTGCATGTGTGGCAAACGTAGTTTCAATGAAGTAATTATTATTGGAATATACCTGTACCAAGGTTGAGAAACTGAAGGCTAAGGAAAAACACAAGTTTGAGAGTGTGTGTGTGTGTGTGTGGTGTGGTGTGTGCTTGTGCCCATGTTCAGGTAAAAAAGAAAGACATGATTATAATTTATATGTATCATTTTGGGGAGTAACTTTCTAATGATATCTACATTTACTCACTTTGTGGTCTATTTTTTTCTAGCAGAAATCTCTCAGAATCCATTCTGTGGAGAGTGGCTGCAGGAGAATCCCTGCTGAACAGCAGGACGAGAGCCCAAGCCTTCCCTCATCCCCTGGATGCAGTGTCCAGGCAGAAGCTGCCCCTGCTGGCCTCTGCGGAGAACAGACGGGAGATAACTGTGCAGAAATGCATGACTACTTTAATGTCCTGAGTTACAGAAGCCTGGGGAGTTTCAGCTTCCTCGGGGAGACCAGTTAGCAACCAGAGCGTCTTCTGGGAGACACAGGCTTGACTTAGTGTTGTAGCTGAAAGTAAGCATCTGTCCTCTCCATCCATGCTGTGTGCGTAAATGAATGACAACTCTTTTCCATTTTTATTTCCTCTACCCTTGCTTTCCATTCCCTCATGGCAGCCTGTGGTGAATGGCTTAAGGCTTGATCATGAATGCAAACTCAAAACAAAAAAGGAACTTGACCTGACTTTTTAAATCTAGCAGTTTGAGTAGATCTGGTGACTCCAAGAAACACATTCCTTCTAATAGCACTGGGTGGGGTTTGTGTGGTAGGCTTTGTGGTGGATGATGAGTTTGGTGTAACCACAGGCAGTCTATTCATCTCACTACCATGTTCATTGACATTCACTCATTCAAGGCGTTTTGTGAATGAGGCATGGTACCGGTCTCTATGAGGGGATTCAAGATGACTGAAGTGTGGCCAATTAGAAATGTACAGTACAAATGTGAGGGCCAAAGAAATCAGTGCGCCTGGACTGGCAGGAGGAGAAGTTTTTATAGGAAACGTGTAAGAGCTAAAATCAATGGAGGTGAAAGTCCAACAAAGATACTCTGGCACCAAGGGAGCCATTGAATTTGATTTTATTCTGTGGACAGGCATCTCATGTCTCCTTTTCCTGTAGCATACTCAGAATCTGTCTGTGACGGTGGATACAGGGCTTCTAGGCTCTTCCAGTCACATGTAGGATGCCCCCAGGAAATGCATGTCCATTGAAGGAGCCAAGTTCTAGCCCCTGGGCCAACATCTATCTTTTAGCCAGTGGTTGCAAATAGAATCTGTTTCCCACCAAAGGAAAGCCTAGATTTTAAAAACAGGGACTCTTCCTAAGGAGAAAGAAAATGTGTGTGTGTGTGTGTGTGTGTGTGTGTGTGTGTGAGAGAGAGAGAGAGAGAGAGAGAGAGAGAGAGAGAGGAAGCTTTGTGTTGGGTTGGATGTCTGAGCAGTTCATTTCTGTTGGAGTGCATTTGGTCTGAATCTAAAAAGACTCCGTCCTTCCACCCTCTGTCTTAGAGGTATGAGCAGGGAGGCTGCTGTTATAGCGACTGATTTTCTTTCTTGGGCAAAGGAACTGAGAGACAATGTGAAGCAAGACTGTCTCTTTTCAGTGAATAAAATAAGCACTGTCCTGGCCTCTAAGAATCAAGCCAGGGTTGAACAAGAAGACAGGGCAACTCTTACTCCCCATCCCCCTTTCTACCAAATAGTTACATAGTTAGGAGTAATGGACTGAAATCTATCCTGAGCTCCAGGCCTTTAGAAGAAAGAGACATGTTTAACATGCTTTTGTTTGCTGAAGCAGTTCACAGTATTTTTCTTGCAACACTAATGCAAATATGTAAGGAGTAGTACATAATTCAGGGAATTGGAAATGAACTAAATGTAATGACAAACAGGGAGTGGTGTTTTGATTTGGAGATTTATATTGGGCTGAGGTTGAACTGAGTGTTGGGTGTTAACACAATTATGGTACTTGGGAAACATCTGCAAATACCATTGGGATGTGATAAAGCACAAAAAGCCTATAGATGTTGGAAATGGGTCAGGTCACTAAAATGAGGTTCAACTTGACAGAAAATCAATTTCAAAGTGGATTTTACTGAACTAGATTATCCTGAGAACCAGTGAAGACATCTCCTAAAGGCTGGATTCCAGAAGACATGCGACCTTCAGGACAGTAGCCACTTTCCACATATAGCTGTCCAAGCACCTGGGATTGGGTTAATCTGAATTGGGGTGTGCTGCACTATGAGTGTAAAACACACATCAGATTTTGAGGACAATATGAATAAATCATGAAAATGTAACTATCTCATTAGCAATTTGAAAATATTGATTATATGCCAAAATGGTAAGTTTTAGATATACTAGAGTAAATAAAATGTTATTAAAATTAACTTCATTTGTTTCATTTTATTTTTTAAATGTGGCTCCTGGAAAATCTACAGTTGACTGTGTGGTTCTCATTGTATTTTTACTGGACTATGGAGCTCTAGATTGCAAACCTAACCCAAGCTGGTCCTCAGATATCATATCTATGTATGTCTGGTGGTCTCTGTATCTTATCTATTATTCAGAATAGTGTTTGAAGAAGTCTTTCCTTATTATGTCTGTGCAAAAGTTTATAGGGAAATCTCACAAGGGAGGCTGAGGTTGGCCACTACTGAGTGTTGATAGCAGGAAAACCCAAATTCTCCTGGATTCCCTCAAGGGTTATCTTGCAGGAGGAGCGAAAATGTGGATTGGTGAATGATAGCACAGTAAGAAATACATTTATAGACTCTCTGCTCACAGCCCAAGCCTTGACTTACAGAGTCTCATCTAAAATCCAGAGAATTATTACGGAACACCGAACAAGCCATGGAGCTTTGAGATAGATGGTCTTCATGAATGGACAGTACCTCAACATAAAATTTTACTTGAGAGTTTGTCTCTTCTCATCCTCTGCATTCCAGAAGTGAATTGTCCCATACTTACCTTCATATAGAGTCATAGGTGCTAAGCTTAGCTGGACAGGCATAGATGCTGTGTGTGTTGTCCAAAAATTGAACATGGTTAACTGCTTTGTGAGATGTACAATGTTAAATCAGTATTATTGTATTATGCCTCATGAGAACATGTACCCGAGCATTCTGATGGACCCACAAAAACCAAAAGAAAGGACACAATGGGCAGCTTAGTGAGTTTCATTCAATCTTTTGACTTTTCCAAGTCATGACTATAACTACTACCACCCCACGCCCACTCCAAAGCACAGCTGTCAAGAGGCCTAAGGGAACCTCATGTGTGACAAGAGCCCAAGATTTAGAGAAGTCAGAACATACATACTATTTGGGAAAATTCAATTGAATATGGCTGTGTGCAGGACAATGCTGTTGAGGTGTACTTTCTGCTACAGTGAGTTTATTCTATTCCTACACTGTCTAATATCACAGCCACTAGTCACATGTGTTGATGGAGCACTTGCAATTTGGCAAATGTGACAAAGGAAATTAAGTTAATATAAATAAAGACATGAGTGGGGCTAGTGTATCGGATATCACAATTTCAGTAAATGACTTCATACAGAGAACTGTGTTTATAAACTTAGAGATGTTAAGCATTTGACATGGTCACCACCAGAAAGAGACATGGAGGATCTCCTTCTAGTCTTTTAGTGTCTTTCCTCTGATCCAGAGAAAGCAGAGGTCAAAAGCAGGCTGTGGTTTATTTACAGCTCTTCCAAAAGCTATCTGAGGAAGCCAAATGACCCACATCACATAAATAGGGTCAGAACTGTCAAGAAATTTGCAAGTCCTAGGTATCATTCAGGGACAGACTTTCCTTCCAGGACTACTATGGGTTATAGTCATTCTGTTTCAGGTAGATGGTAAAGAACACTTTATCTGGGACTAACCCACTAATGGATTTCATGGGAAACATAAAGAAATAACCAGTGTGCAGATGATTGGAAATTGGGCTACTTGGTTCAAGTATTGATTTGTACAGTGAAGTCTCATGACTTGGGATGAGTCCTTTCACTTCTCAGAGCCTCATGGCAAATATTTCCTCATTTGTAAAATGGTAACCGTAATATCTACTTACTAGGGTTAAGAAAATGTGCTAAGACTATGGCTATTTTGTAAGTGTGCAATATTAATATTCTTATTGCATTATGTCCCATAAACACATGTGCCTGTCACTGCTCAAGATGCCACAGAGGCTCCTGAGGGGGCACCAAAACTTACTGGAAGCAGCCAAGATATCTGGAATTGTTAATATTCTTAAAACCGAGATTTTTAAGGAAAGCTAAGAGCTGCAGATTTAGCTTCAGGGTCCACAAGTTCCCTGTAAGCATTTATAAATTTTGTGTTTTAAGTGAGATGATATTTTTAAAAGCCAAACGTGTCTTGGATATTGATGATCTTACAACAGGGTATCTTTATTGCTTTTTATTTTTATGCTTGCATTTATGATTTATTTCGAGACAGAGACTTACTTCATAATTGATTTATTTGGTCCAGGTAGGTGAAAGAGTAGAACGTTTGGCAGCAGTTGACATACAGTGAAAGAGGAGGGAGGGCTAACTTCCCTTTTGCACACTGTAGATTAGGGATGCTCAATCGAGGGTGTGTGCCCAAGCAGGCTGTACCCTTCACTTTGTTCACTGTGACACAGATTCAACAAGGCATCGTCCAATGAATCAATGTGGTTATGGCAAACATAATTATAGTTTAACTTGTGTTTAGCTTGTACCTTTGACTTTATAATTTTGTAAGTTATAAGCACAACAGGTTTATGTGATATGTTTGAATATAGCTAAGAATGTTATTATAAAAATAATTGTACATTATATTATTAATGCATTACTTAACATAATAGAAATAATTCCAGCTTTCTCTCATAGGGAGGATCTGTGGGAAGCGTTTTTTCCCCTTTATATGGGAGTACATATTACTTGAGTTTGAGAAATACATGTGCATATAAATATCTTTGGATAAATTTAAGAACTAGTTTATTGATTGCTTTGCACTGGAAAAACATCTCTCTGAATCTCTGACTTTATAAATTGGTGTAATAATAGTTCCCTCATGGAGTAATTGTGAAAATGGATAAAATTATAAACTGCAAAGTGCCACAAGTAGTGTGTATGTTATTTACAAAAATTATAACCTGTATATAAACCATACTACTATGTGTTCAGCAGATAGACAAGAGGCTTCAATAGTGTTTGGATGGTGCAAAGAGATTTAAAAACTCTGGATGAAGTCAGCTGGCACCATGAAGATATTGCTAAGGTTCACAGAAATCAGGAACAAATCATGCATTGTGAAAATGTTTTCTTCCTTTTTGTTTTCCACTTTCTAGAATATCATATTTAGTTCAGTGACTGAGCTGCAAGAATTCAGTATTTAAATTTGTTGAATTTACAAAAAAGTCTCCCGGGTTTGATGATCACCTTTCAGTGCAGAGGTCACTCAGTGAACT